TTTAATAATAGTGGGAAGCGATTACTGTGAGACGTCGATATTCATGTTTGTCAAGGTTCAGCAGTGAATCTCGTAATAGCTCATCCACAGTCAGTATCTGAAGGAGGCTTCGTTTGGTTCTTGCTTGAGAAGCCAGAAAACCAGAAGAGGTTAGGAAACCAGGAAGGTCCGCGATGGCCCAGCAGCGCACACAAAGACCCAGAGCCCAGAACCCTTGAGAACCGGCTTGGCCGCTTATCCTCAAGCGAAAAAGGAAACGAGCTCTGAACCGTTGGCACCAAGCCAAAGCCAATGGGCTCTAGGCCCGGTGGGGGATGTCGAATCCGAGAGGCAGCACAAGTTCCGGCTCTCTCGGGCTGCTGATGGATGCCACGGATCCATCGTGCTTGCCCCTGGTACGAGATTGCTGGGTGTTCAAGGGTCTTTTCTGTGAGTAGAGTCTTGCGAAAGATCATAAGGTGAAGGCTCCGGGCCTGTATAGAATTACCGGCATGGACTCTGATTGCACAGCGAGGGCTGGGTCGTGGTTTGGTGGTTTTGCAGGGGCGTCCAAAGAGAAGAGAGCTGGGATGCAGCAGCTACTCCTTGGAGTGTAGTTACTGTAGTTTTCTAGGTTCCAGGATGGGAGAGTGTGATTACGGGTTCAACCCGGCAGAACGATCACCATGCCCGTAGTACGGGTTCTGCCTGCAAGCTATTATTGGTGCAGCTGCAGCCGTAAAACACGGTTACAAGACAAACAGAAAGCTTTCTAGCTTCTGGCTACGCGGGGCACAGCCTCTTGTGTTTGCGTCATATCCCTCATGGACTTCAGTTCTACGGAGTGCTGGCCAAGCGGGTCATCCAGACACTCCCCGGATCAGGCCACCGGAGCAATGCTCAACAATGACTGCCCAGGAATCTCATACAAAGCCGGCCTAGCCATAGCTGGAGCCCGCAAGTTCGTGTTCTGACACACATGACTGGGGACCCTGAACATCGCTTCGTCTGGAACACGGCTCCCGGCTAGCGTTTCCAGGCTTTCACAGACTTGGGCGTGGGCATGTGTTGCACGTGTTGCACACGAAGTTGGCACGGCATGGTTGCTGCAGGTTCGTCTCGCCTCGCCTGTGAAGGAACATTAAGGAACAACGGCCAACAGCATTTGCTGGCAAAAGGTTGGGAGCATAAGACATGTTGGAATGGCTGAGGCTGAGGCACATGAAGGTGTTGGTTTCATCTCCTGGCTGTACTTCTTTGTACCGTCCTGATCATGCTGTTGCTGCGTGTTGAGCACATCTGCTGTTCAGAATGCATCGGGCCATGTGGGTCGCTGAGCCTGGTCTGGTCCCGTGCATCTGGCCAAGGATTGTAAAGACGATTGAACGACGAGGGGCCATTCCTGAGTGGAACGAGGCATGCGGTCAGCGTCGAGAGCAGCTGTAAGTGACCAAGAACTCAGCAAGACCACCAGCAAATCACAAACAGTTTGCTGAACCAACGATGACATTGTGCTTGAGCTTAAAGCGCCGTCTCAGTCTTTCCGGTTGACCGCTCGGTACTCGTACGGCTTGATGCGGGAATTAGCGAAGCAGAACGTGATTAGTATGCTGTGTGCGAAGCAGGTCGCTCCCGAAGGAAAGCGGGTAAGCAAATATGCAACTCGGACGCAAGCGACGTCGTGTCTGTTCACCTTGTTTACTTCACATGTATTTCGTACATAGGACATGAACTCCGGTATGGCCCGTCCCGTGAGGACGATCTGGGTGTAGCCTTGTAACAATTGGGCAGTGCGCAGAAGGCTAATCGAAAACAGGCGTGATTCCCAACCCTGTCAATTGGTCTGCCATTGTGACACGTTGCGCTTTTGCGCAGAAACCCTATGCGGGCAGAGAGTTGTCCTTTCCGTCTGCTTGTCATGAGCTTGGCACATTGTGAAGAAAGCGATTTGAAAGATTCGTCAGAGGGACAACATGATGTCCTGTGTTGATGGATTCGGCAGTGTGCCACTGTACATGTAATGTGACATGGGTTTGTGTGCGTGCACGCAAGTGTATGTAAACATTGCTGTGAATATACTCGTGTTTGTGCTTTTACGTATCTCAGAATTTACATAGGGATGTTTGATTGAATTGCTTGTTTGTTTGTCTATCTATGTGTAACCGCGTATGTCTGTGCATCTGCATACATATGCATGTATTCAAGTATGTACACATGCATGTTTACATGTACCTACGTACGTACGTACGTACGTACGTACGTACGTACGTACGTGTGCGTGTGTGCGCGCGTGTGCACACAGGTAGGTAGGCAGGTAGGTACGTAGAGCTATGTCCGTTTATGTATGTATACGTGCATGCCCGGCATTCTCGTGTACATCTATGTGTTCCAGCAGTAGGTAGGGAGGGAGGGCGGGAGGTAGGTAGGTATGGCTGTGCGGGAAGGCAGGCAGGCAGGGAGGTAGGTATGTAAGTAAGAAGCAAGCAGATAGATCGGTAGGTCGGTGGGTAGGTCGTTTGGTCGGTCGATAGGTCAGTAGGTCGGTACGTCGGTCGGTCGGTGGCTGGGTGGGTGGGTGGGCGGGTGGGTTGCTCACATGTGCTTCTATGAGTGTATGTGTCACAACTGTATGTATATGTGGCAGATGATGCTTCTCTGAAACTTCCGGCACATCCCCGAGAGCTGCCAGGACCGAGTTACGGAGGTCAACGGCGAAGGTGGCGAGAGCGAAGAGTTGATGGAGCGTTTGCTCAGTTCCTGGGACTTGGCAGCCCTGTGCGTTAGGGAGGCGAACAGCCTCACCTGGAGTGCCCCCAAATGCAAAGACGATGCCGTTTTTCACGTTCCACACCTTGCACTCTCCTGGGAAAGCAAGCTCCTCGAGAGCAGCTGAATTAGTACCGATGGCCCCGAAGCTACATGGTCCTGATGAAAATACATTGAGGCTTAGACCTCACGCTGTTTACCATCACCGTCCAAAGACCGGAGGCAATCGTTCACGCTCGGCTTGCACTTTGGAGTTGGCTGGTTTTCGATTTGTATGAGACGGGACCTGTGACCTTTTGCACACAGTCAAGGCATTCTGGACTGCTGTGCCACTCAGGGGAATTTTAAGGAGTTCTTGGATTGAATCGGGGAGGGAGAACGCCAAAGAATCCCCAAGTTGAGAATTCCTGCAAGCAGAAAGCTCCATTTGTTCCCGGTGAGCCGACCTGTGCCAGGCGCGGCTCGTGAAATTGCATTTGCCCGGCGACACCGGCATGAGCGTGGACTGTGAGTGCCTGGGTCGGCGATTTAGCACTTGTGGGATGCTGAAGAGTTGTTGTCTTTGTCGGAACCAGGAGTTCGCTTGGAGCCACCTACGAGTATAAGTCGATGTAAAGCCCCGAACCTTGATACTGGCACTCAAGCTACCTCAGTATCAGTAGCGCGCACGCGTCCAGCGTTGGACTGGAGAAGTAAAAGCAGGAAACAATCAATTTTTCTTCATTTACCTTTACCTTCACCTTGAACTCCCTATCTTTGGGCCCGTGAAGGACTCCCTGTAGCCCTACTGTCAGGAAGGCAAAATCTGCGGTGCCTTGGATCAGTCGGATCTCCAATGGGTTGCTGAAGAGCTGGAATGAGGACATGCCGGAGCAGTCGGCTGCTTGGTCGTATCTTAGCCTCCAGCATCCTGAAATTCGAGGAAGCCGTCTCAAGCCTGCAGATGTCAGTAGAACTGCCAGTAACGCAGACGTAGCCTTGCTGGTATGCTGGTAGAGGTTGCAGTCCACGATCGAATCGTCTCCGTGAACGGATGCGCCGGCTCGAGCGAGCTCATCCTGGATCGGCCCACCGGCGCAAGAGGGCCTGCGATGCACAGCTACTGCCGCTTTTTGCATACCCGAGTCTGATCATGCTACCATCCTTTTGCACTTCGGAGAGGCCGTTGTTTGTCAGCGTGTTAGAGGGCTTTCCAAAGGTAGGAGCTAAACAGGGGGCAGGCCTGCAGTGGGAGTAGACAAGGCTGCGAAGGCTTGCTGCTTGCTGGTATGGACAGGCAGTGTCTCAGATGGGAGCAATTCGTAATTGCGAACCTCCAAATCTATCTAGAGACAGCGGACATCTTTCGACGAAAAGATTCGGCTTTCGAGGTTGGCATTGGCAGAGAAGACGATCGAACTCCTGGCGCTTCAGCCGAGAAGTCAATACAGTCCAGGTCTAACGCCGGAGGTTGGGATGAGGAAAGGCCCCAGGGAAGCGCTCGGAACCTGGCTCCTGAATGCTTTCCGTGATGCAAGGATGGGGTTGTGGCTCGCGGGATAAAGGTGTGTAAAACCGCCAAGTACTTATGATGGTTAGGGGTTTTCGTAGGTGGACGGCAGGCATTGCGAGCTCATCTCTTGTGCAGCCCACAGCCCACACCATACTTTCAACCCGAATGCTTGCAAGTATCCGCAGGGGTCGTCAGGATCGCTGTGCAGCTGTCGAACCTCTGCAACCCTTGCACTAGTCCATGCTCCAGCGCCCCGAGTGGTTTTCTCATGAGGTGCTGCACTACGCCATTGAATCCTGAGCGAGTGTCGCCAGCTTGGTGACATCGCCGGTTCATAAATGGGGGGGGGGTCTGAAACAAAGGTTTGGGTTTTAGCGGTGGAGGAGAATATATTATACGATGGAGGCTATAATGAGATGCTCTTCACAGCTTGTCCAACATGTACTTTAGGACCAAGGTGGAACAGTTCCATTTATCTTTGATGCAACTTGCCGTTTCGAAAGAACGCACACGCCTCCACGACCAGAGTCAGACTGCCAAAGCACAAAGCAGCCAAAATAAGACATTCTCCGGAGCTGGCGGTGTCCTCGGCAGTAAGGGCACATCGTTGAATCTCATGCGCATCAGTGTTGAAGCCAGGAAAGGCTGATATGGACCCTCAGTAGCGATGACGACTTTCATGCTGTCTACAACTTTCACGTTAGAGGTGATCCCCAGATGCAACGCTTGAGATATTAACCCGTTGCTACTGTAGCTTCCAGCTGCTCTCGGATGAGACTTCACAGCCGCGTCTCACCACATCTGCTCAGATGCCACGCGCCTGCACCCTCGCAGAACCGAAGTGGATAACCGAATCAGCCAAGCTCAAGTATTTGTACTTGAGTTTGGGGGCGGGCCGGGCTTGAAATTGGGCATTCAGCGGCTGCAAATACAGCTGTGAACCCCAGTCAAAGCAAAAAGAAGCCATGCTTGCGAAGCGACGCTGACCCTTGGCTGGCTCGTCTTGTCTCTTCCTTCCCTCGCTCCATCTCCCCTTCCTCTCGCCCCGTCCCTCCCTCTTTCTCGCTCTTGCCACTCTTCCTGCATCCTTTCGCCCTGTCTTTCTCTGTAGTGCTTACGAGCGTATGCGTATGTCTACGTTTGTTTCGGTGCTTGTGTCACCTCCTGCGTGCTGCGTTTTCTTACAGGTTACATGACTCGTGAAGATCTCAAACATGGGTGCTATAGGGATGGGGCGATTGTTCAGGATGGCATTTGTATGCGTTTGTCCGAACTGCGAAAAGCGAGAAGTGTATGCGAAGCCTTTGGAGCCAACGAAAACAGCCAAGGAGCAAGGGGAATATACCCAAGGGCCTGAGACCATGGTTTTGCATCAGGGAGTGAGGGTCTGAGCTGGGGCAGGCAGGAATTCGCAGAGCTTTTGGCTGGCAGATCTGGTGCCCTAGATGTGCAGGTGTTCTCGCTGGTCGCATCTGCCGGGGGGCCGAAGGTCTTGTTGAGCCACCTGCAGACACTCAGGGCACCTTGGTAGCAACACAGTGCCTTCTGCGAGCCTTTACATGCACTACCTTTATCCCGGGTCTATGTATCGTCGAGCCCCACTTCCTGTATGCACTGGGCAAGGGATGGTCCACCCCAAGCCAGCATTTGGCGGTAGACCTCGATGCGAGCAGACGAGAGACCTGCGTTTCCTGGGATGCACCATGCGCCACATCTTCTCTGCCTCACTTCAAAACCAGATCCCTGCAAGCCAGCGGGTATGCAGATATTTGTCGCAGTGGCAGTGTGTTGCATATCTGAAACCGGTGCCTCAAACGCTTGGTTTGGGGACTTTTGGAGGACACAACTGTGGAGCATCAAGAGTGCCCATGCAACAGGAAGCTTAATGCATGCTCGCCAGCGCGACACAGCGAGAGAGAGAGAGAGAGAGACACCTCGAAAAGGACACCATAGGTCCCGCGACCCGTTTACGACCACAGCCTTGCGGTAGGGTTGGCTTATCTTCAGGACAGGCACATCCTGACAGGGCTTTTTTGTCCGGATCCAATTCAACTAGCAAGCATCACCGACGGGGATGCACGACAACAGCGGGACCCAGTGTTGGTGTAGAACCTGGAAGCTTACAGTCATGTCAATGTTGTTCTAAGACTCTTGCTCAAGTGCGTGGTTATAATTGCATTGGCACCGGCAATTCGAGTCAAGCTCTCCACGATTGGGGGCTGTCGGGCAAGAGATCATGGAATCGATTTTAAGGGAGATGAATGGTCGCCCAAGGACGGCCCAGCATTGAAGTTTTGACAACACTTCACAAGCGAATACTCCTCTCGTATGTCCAAGTTGTCTGAGGGTTCGATCTGTGTGTGCGTGAGCAACCGCCCAAAACTTTTGCTCGCAGGAGAAGACATGTTTTGCGGAAGAATTACTGTTCGCCAAGGCAGCCGGTACGACTCCACAGTGGATGACCCAAGCAATCCAAAGGCCGTCGATCTTTCCTTGGGCCTGTTGCAAGCTGTAGAGGTGGGGGTTAGTCAATGGTTCTCGCAGGTTTTCTGCGTGTTCCGCGACTTTCAAGCCATTCCTCTCTACCTGGCGGAGATATCGGCGGCGTGAGTTTTCGGGCAATGTAGGTTTTCAGGGCTGCCAGGGCCCCTAGCTGTGAGACTATGCCCGCGGTTCCGAGGTTGGCATCTCAGGTCTAGTTGGAATGTTTGGTTTGGGCGATGCATCGCCCAAACTCCAGCCAGACATCTCAGCGTCTCGCCACGACTCATGAAGCTGGTGGAACTTTGCAGGTTACATAAACCAGATGTACAAGTCAATGGCAGCACAGGCAGGACAAGTATTAAACTCTAGCCATTCTAGCGAACAGAGTCTCTGCAACCATGGAGGCCGTTTATGTTTGCATTTGATGATGCCTCATGCTTGTGAAGGTGGCTAGAGGTTACAAAACACAAGACAAAGAGACCAATGGAAATGAGCATGTTTCAAGCTTCAAGGTGTCGACCTCGGAGCGCCGGCCGAAATTTCCCCAAGTAGTGGCCCCCCCCCCCCCCCCACAATCGGATGCCACCGATGTAGGGCTGCCTGGGTTGCTTCTCATTGTCAGCCGGAGCCTGGGGCTGTTCGCACATGCCAACGTGTGATGCCTATTGGGCTTCAGGTTGCATTCTGAAGGGTACATCGGGGCTGACGGCGCAGTTGTAGTAGGGCTATGGGAAAGGCTTTTCACTCTTCGAAATGCAAATAGATTTCAGAGTACAGCCCGTGGACACCCGGTTTCATGCAAGGCTGCTGTCGGAAGCAGTTCAAGAGCAACCCAACTTTCACTTAGGCACACCCAAGTGCACCAGCTGCAGAGTATACGCAGGGTTTTGGGACCAGTTCCGCCGCTCCGCCCAATGCACCGGGCTGTTGAGTTTCAGTTTAACCTGGGATGTCAGCTTGGGCTTTATAGGAATTCCGAGTGAAGGTTCTGGCTTGGGGCTCAGGTTCAGCGTTCACTCGAAGGAGAGATTGAGAAAAATTCTCGGCAGCTCACGTCGCTCTTGAGTCGAAAGCTCGTAGCTCGTAGTTTCACCGCACCAGCTCAGGAAGCAGGGGAGACAACCCGCACTGCCCGAACCTCCTAGCACCCGAAACTTGGGACACCGCTCGCAGAGGATCGCAAGCCCAGCAGTCCTTGCAAAGCCTACCATGCTGGTGCTAAATACTTATTCCCGCGCATTTGCCAGCATTTGAACGATGCGGTCGTTTGAGGGTGCAGTGCCTGACAGCAGCACAGACAGCCCCAGTTCCAAGCTATGCTGCCGATGTATTAGCTCCTTAACTGAAACAGCCTCGACATCGATTAAGTTTGGTGAGTTTCCAGCCATTCTCACATCCTGGACCACGGCGCAGCTGTCAGGGCCACCCTCCAGACCCCCAGGTGCAGAGTGCGCCCCCAAAGTTTGGCGTGACCTCCTGCCAAAAAATGAAGCCGCGAGAGGCAAGCCCTTCCGTGAAGCTGTTGCATCCGAAGCTTGAGCAGTTCAAACCACAAGTGAGAAGTGCAGCTGTCATTGGACGGGTTGAGACGTGAAGTAGATCGAGGCCCTCGACCCAGCATAGTTTAGGAACCCAAGACGCAAGGGCTACACCAAGGTGCATGGGTCCCAGATAAGTTGTTTGCCGCCAGCATCTAAGCCAACCCCAACATGCCCCAAACATGTTGGCAGGACTCCATGTGCTGGACGAGGAGCACCAGGCTTGACCAAATAGCGCAGACTTTATTTAAGATGGCATCTGTGAGTTAGCCCGGACGGGTCGAGCTCTTTGTCTCAGGAGCCTGGATGAAGTCAGATAGCACTCAACCTGAGACTTCGAGCGAACATATGCCGATCTGCCAACCCACAACATGACAGTAGGCCCGAAACCAAAAGTATCGCAACGGTGCCGTTCCAGTTCTGCCCGCCGCTGCATCATGTCCGAAGCTTTTAACATTCAGATGGCCGGCAAACCAACACCGGTTCACTCCACGGGCAGATGCCCTGAAGCCACCAGACATGCCTGCAACCCAGCCTACCTAAAGTTAGAGCTAGAGCAGCCCTCAAGCTGAAACATCCAAGACGATGTCCGTGGCCATGGTGCTTCGCTCACATGTGGCTTCGAGGCGACGACATGCCCAAACTCACCTTCAGTCCTTCTGCTCCAGTCGTTGGAGCACTGTCGATTTCGCTGGCAGCTGTCACAGAAACGAGTATATAAAAGTGATGGGCATCAAGAGTCGGGCTCTTTAGATGAGGTGCTTGGGCCACCACATACTCGTAGGTCGGGAACATGAGAGTTTGAATGGCTTCGTAACTGAGGATTTATCTCAGGCAACATGTAATCTTAATGACATGACATGACTTCAACGGGCGTTTCCCCAGAGGAGCCTGGTATCAAGCATTCATGGTCGGGTTTCCAGGTTTCACTTCTCAGCCGAAATCTGCCAGGCCAGATGCGGCAAAACCACTGGCAGCTCTGGAGGAGGAGGATCTGCTCAACAGCCGAGGTGGGCAATTAAGGGCCATTTAAAAGGTGGTCTCAAGTGGATGATGTGACTTATCTTGTTGTCCGCCTAGCATGTGTTAGGAGGGATGGAGGCATGTGTGTAGTGTAGCACGCACCGCTGGAGGTAGCTAGGTAGGTGGGGAGGTAGGGGTAGTGGGAAGAAGGTAATTGGGGGGCTGGCGCGGGGTGTACACAGGCACTTAGGTTCCGAAGCTATGTAGATAGGCATGTCCGCATGTATGTTGTATGCACCCACCTACATACTTTCAATGGTCTGCACATGCAGATGAGACCATTTACAGGTAGCAACTGTTCGGGATTTGCTGAAGATCATCCGGCCCGTTTGCGCACCGAGGCGTGGAGACTTCGCCCAACAGGCAAATCTCCGCCGCGACGTCCACAAGCAGTGGGGTGAAGGACACAGACACCGGAACGTACAGATTTCGGCCGAAGTTCACAAGTTGATTCGGATGGGACAGGTCTGGGAGCGGATCAACCTGGCAGTATGCTTGCCATTGCCACAGTTCGGGGCTGGACTTGTTCACCTATGCAAGGCTTCAAAATTACCGTCAATCACCCACATCAATCAGCCGCCCACGAAGCCAAGCCACATCATTGCAATTGAGAAGCGAAAACATGCGCAGCCGAGTTCAAGGGTGCATGCCGAAATCAGTTCAACTCGCGTCAAGCAATCTCCTCCCTACCCCAGCAACCCGCTATTCCGCCATTTCCTGTGCCAGCCTCAAGCAAAGCGCTTGCAGGAGATGTCGGTGTTGTCTTCCAGAGCTTTGATGAGCCGCCAGAACTTGCAACAGGATGCTCTGCTCCCATACTTTCTGCGTCAAAAGAGGCTGCGAACTTGAGCAGAATCCAGTAAGTGTTCCTTCTGCTTCTGCTGTTTGGACATGCGGACGACTGTAGCTGGGTCAGCGGGGCACAGCAGGACCCAGGCCCGTGAACTGGCATGAGGTTGGTGCCGACTGGTTTTGTGTTATCATGTTTATTATACGAATAGTCCAGCGCCAAATGTTGGTGCTGAACTATTCGTAAAAATAATCATGATAACAATACCCATCATGTTAGGTGGTAAAGAACATGCTTTCCAGCCGGTAGGAGATGTGGAGCCCGGAAGAAGCTGCGCACAAACAGCGAGTCATTCCTTTGCTGTTCCTTGGCTTATGGATTTTTGGAGCTTTGGGACGTAGCTTTCCAAAAATCAAGGCCGGCGTATCACACCTTGTGATGCCACGTCTTGCCCATAAATCATAGAACTCATTATGCAACACCCCCGAATGGGCAGTTCACATGCCCACACAGGCCAAAACGGTCTGATGCTGCAGCCTGCCTCAAGTATCCGCCTGCAAAGGCCACTGCTCCCGATACTTGCCAAGTGGCTCCAAAAAACCAGCGAGAGGTGCTGCCACATGCGTCAAAGTCTTACTAAGCTAGTAATACTGACCACAGATAGCTGCAACAAACACGAGTAATAGCGAAAAAGCATCCAGCGACAATGACAACAGATTTGTCGAGACGGTACGAACGGAAATGGTGCTAGCCAGGGGATGATGATTGTTGCCATGCCCACCTCACTTTCAGAGGACTAGTACTTTATTCTTGTTACCCTGATGATTGCTATTCTTATGATGATGAATATGTCGTTTCGTCGTCCTCGTCGCAGTAGTGGTAGTAGTAGTAGTAGTAGTAGTAGTAGTAGTAAAGTAGTAGTAGCCCAGCTGGTGCAGGATTTGAGTCTGGGTTCAAAGAGCAGCAGCAGCAGCAGCAGCAGCAGCAGCAGCAGCAGCAGCAGCAGCAGCAGCAGGAGCAGGAGTAGGAGGAGTAGTAGTAGTAGTAGTAGTAGTAGTAGTAGTAGTAGTAGTAACTAGTAGTAGTAGTTCTACTTGTGAGAAGTTATTCAGAGCCTGTCTGAGGAGCCCAAGCCTCGACCTGCTGAGCCGCAGTGAGCCGGGAGTCTTCGGGCAGAGCTTCGGAAAGCAGAGGGGGCTTCCTATACAAGCGCGACTCTAAGGGCCACAAGGGTTCCCTTAAGAGAATGAGTCCTACTAAGTAGTTACTATAAGGGTCCCAATCAAGGAGACAATAAAAAAGGGCATTATGCTACAAGGTGTTTGGTACAAGACACATGGGTAATTCCTTTAATTAAGGTGTACCACACGGAGCTTCTGGGCCTTTAGGGCTTGGCAAGGGGGATTTGGGGCTGGGCCCGCAAATATCCGCAAAGCGCGTACTACGGTTTAGATCTTGCTTGTGTCTTCATCAGGCATAAATGGCTCCGGCGGCTTGCAAGATCTTATAGAAGTGCATGGATGATCATGCCCCATGCACAGTAGTGGACAGAACTTGTAGAAAGGCGCTGCTGCCCAAGCCTACAGTAACGAAAGGATGGAACTTCACATCAGGGATGCTCATGCACCAGGCCAAAAGCTTGCCCCGCATTGCTCCAGTACTGCATGCACCCTCATGATCCCTCATGTTTGCACGGATTTGCTCGCGCCCGCTTGAGCAGGCCCTCCGCCCTACCGCAAAAAAAAGCCCAGGCCTGCATCCAAGCACTTTTGATATCACCAGCTCAGGATCTTCTACCAGAACCTCTTCCAGAATCCCGAGCGATTCGGCGGCAGCCCTTATGTTCCAAGAAGGGGCTTCCGGCCCCACCACCTGTTTCGGGCATGTCATGGCTTGCTCATGGCTAGGTTTCAGGTCTTGCATGGCGTCAAGTGCCGTCAAGGTTCAAGTGTTGACCTGTCAAAGTATTGCGGGCCAGGGCCAGCCAGAACCGACCTCGAAAAGTGCATGAGCACAGATTCGAGGTTTGAAACGTTCTGTCTTTCAGTTGTTCCACGAAGCGAGGCATGCAAAGTCCTTCAAGCTGCTCTTTGCTGGAAAGGATGCCTGGTTGTCAAAACGTAGAAGCGGGTGCTTGGGCTTTCCGAAGGCCTCCGAAACCCCGCCGCAGCCCATGAGGGCCTCCTGTCTCCAAGGACATGGAGAGAACAACCAATGCCTTTGGACGCATTCCCTGCGAGATGCTGCGACTGCTGATGCTGCCAAGCAAAGGCCTCATGGTTTTAGCCACCTGGCAATTGAAGCTTCACGGGTTCCCTTCAGACTTGACGCAGCATTCTTTGTGCGATCTCAATCAGATGACGTACGTATGATGAGTAGGTCGCGCACGATCGGATGAACCAGCGAGCACACAAGCTTGAACCTACCATGCCGTGTCTCCTTAGTTTTCGAAGCCCCATGTCCAAGCCGGGGCCCCAGCGCCACACCAGACTCCCTTTCCAGGTCGTCGGCTCCCAACGTCTCAGGTGGTCTTGCTGTTTTGCTTTTGTAAGAGTCCCCGACGAGCTCTTGTCAGAACCTTTGCCACCATGCCCAAATTCTAGAAGGCCCAAATGCCAAAGTCTTGCTTTAGACCTCCAAAACAGCGCAAAAAGCAGCGAAATCAAGGAAACATTGAGCCTAGCCCTGCGTCACGTGGATTATGGTGCCCAGCGCGAGCACAACGAGGCCAGCTTGGTGCGGATGGGTTCTTCAGGGCACAGGATTGAAAGTTAGAGCCAGGGCTACATTCTTTGTCAGAGTGTTTGTGTGCTTTGGAGCCACTTTCATCGAGGTCCGCGGGTGCTCTCACATTTCTTTGCAGCAGTTTGCGAGGGAGCGTCTTCGGAACTTGCACGCACTTGCAACGCTCCCACAACGCACGCCAACTGAAGTAGCGGGTGCGAATCCATAACACAGGTGAATTACCCTTTCGCCTCGGCACTCCAACCAATCTTTTGGAGCAGTCACTCGCCAAGAGACGTTGACTCAAGTGTCAGTAGGCACCGTCGGGCGGTGTCGTGCCGAAGCTTCTTCCTGCTCGTCTTTTTCTCTGTCGAGTAGGTACGCTCAGATGCAATCATGAAATGCAGGTGTTTGAGCGCAGCTTCTTGCGTGCGCTCTCGCAATTCCTCATCCGTGAGGGTGGCGTTTGGGATGCCGATGTGTCCGACGGCTGGTCGTGGGTCTATGGCACCTTCAGCACCCCGCCAGGGTTTGTGAGATGCAAGGCTGCAGGGCACGGATATCTGGTTAGGACTGGAAAATGTAAGTCATCCAGCACCGGTACCAAAGAGACCGCACCCGGCCACTTATAAACTTACAGGGAATAGGACCTCGCGACTCTCACTTGATGTGCTTCTCTTTTCGCGGCCGTTGCAGTCATCTCCATCAGTATGACATATGCCTGCATAATCATGTCATAAACCCTGTTTAAAGACTTACCAATACATAAGCCACTCAGGTGATGAGCTGCTCAGAGCCCTCGAAGTGGCAGCCCGGCTGTGGCTACAGTCGCTAGGAAGGGCTGGACTCCCGGATTTGTCCGAAAGTCTCAAACCCGAGGCTACATCGTTCAGGCTGATGAAGCGCAGGTACCTTCTTACTCGGCTTGCTCGTTTGGAGAGCCACATATATTTATATATTGCTCGCACAGTACTTGGGCTATCCCCATTGAGGCCACCACCAGGTCGACATTGACACTTTAAGTTGGTCGGGTTTGAGGGTAGTCAGTCTTGCAACTGCGGAGTGTCGCACAGTAGGTGAGAAAATCTTGTCCAGAAGCTCGATGGCTCCTAACCCCCGCTCTCTGCGACGAGCATACCCCATACCCCCCAAGGCCAAGCACTCGAGAATTGCTCTGCGAGGTAAGGCCCAAGGTGGAAGCCGTGCGGAGCTCTTGGAACCTTGGCATGGATATTGTCTTAGGTTCCACTTACATCCCTACCCTGGAAGCTGCTGGAGAGCTGCAGTCCTCAGATGTGGAGTTGTTGAACCTTACGCAAAAGTGAACATCAAGCCGTGAGAACGTGCCAGTTGTAAAGCTAGACTTCATGCTTGGGGTAGGAGGTGGATGGATCGATTCAATTCGGCACTGAATAGAAGGGACATTTCATCTGCCTTCAAAGCTTTCCGGCCCAGGAATCAAATCATCACCAAGTCGGTGATGCAATCTGAGCTGTTCGGATGCACTTTCTGGATGGGGTTGATGGGTGTGCCCAGCATCTACCCAAGCTCTCCCAGGCTACTGACACATACTGAGACTGACAAAGGTTTCGAACGCTCCGTTGTTCACAATATTAGTAGTTACTAGCACTCAGTAGCTGTACTCAACGAGAGGCTCCGTTTCTTTGGTCAGGAGCAGTAAATCTCGCTTCCAAATCGCAACGCCCGCTTCAGCAGAGAGCAAGGGCCCCATCAAGCCCCACCTGTTTGAAGCTCTGCTGGGCTCCTCGTTCCCGGGCCCTAGCCTAAACCCGCCTGCATCAAAAACATTAAATCGCATGTAAAGGCTCTTTCTGTCTTCTGTGCGACTACGAAGCAAGTCGTCGTGGTGCCGGTACAACAATCATGTGTCTTTGCAAGATTTCGTGAGCCAGCCCTTACAATAGACATGACAGCTCGGTCTTATCGTTGTCTCGATCCAGATCAGGTTCTCGGACGACTCACACACATCTGGCACTACACAGATTTCGAGCCGGCGACACAGCGTAAGCGGCCGCACGATTGCGAGCATGCACGGGACCCGTCATCTTTAAGAGCTCCTGGCAGCAGGTCTGAAGGGCTAATGCACGAACAAGTCTCAAGAATCATGAAGATGGCCTTCGGCAAATGTGCATCCCCCACCTCGACTTGTAGAACATCGCACTTTTGCAGAGTAGCCCCTCAAGATGCATCTGGAGCCCTGCCCCCGAAGACTCGAGGCTCCAGGTTCTCTAAGGCCCCGATCAAGAACCCTGAGAAGCCGCCGTAGAGATGCTGGGAGGACTGGCGGCCTGCTGAGTGGAGGACGCAGCAGCCTCAGACAGACACATCTGCGACTGAAGAGTCTGCAGGTACATGTTGGGACACTGCCAGAAAGAGCGCGTTACTTGAGAATGCTGAGCATCGCCCTCGACGGCAGAGTTTCTCCTGGCGACTTGCAGGTAGCCACAAGAGTCACCAGAAGCGAAGCACCCTGAATGCGGAAATGTCCAACGAAGATGGCGTTGAGACTTGGATTATGGGCCACTGCGAGGATTGACTTTCATTGACATCCAGCAAAGATTCCTGCTGAAGCCTTCGGTCTACTGGCCCGAAACACAAGAAGCCGAGGATGGACGTCAGAAAGCTTTGGTTTCTGTTGGGGCGGCCATGGCTCGACGGCTTCAGGTGCGGGACACGGACCTGAAGCACTCTGAGACCTTTCCGAGTCAAGCTGCACGTAACAGTCGCATTCAAGGGATTGGTTCAAGGATTCAAACATATTCTACTACATGCATACACGCGTACACACAGACACACGTGCATACGCACGTACATACGCAGATGCCTAGGTACGTGCGTACATACATAGGTACATACATACGTACGTACACACGTACATACAGCCACATACGCGCACAGGCACACACCACATGAGAACCAGGAGCATGCTGTTCAGCAGCTCTGTCTTGTTGATGTTGCGCATGAGCGTATAATGTGTACAAATATAGATATATATATATATATATATACTATATATATATATACATAATAAGTGCATCTATATCGTTATACACATGCATGCATATACGTACATACATGCTCAGGTACATACCTACGTACATGCACGCAACAACCACAGCTTCCACCTCTCCCTCCCCACCGCCAGGAAGGCATCGCCCAGTCCAAAGAGAAAACCAAATTTGTGCCGCCGACAAATTGAATGGCTTTAGTTGAGGCTTGAGTTGTGCGCAGGGCCTCGAGGCGGACTGAGGACATGTCTCCAACACAACCCTCTCTCTCTGGTTTCTTCACACTCAAGGATACGGGCCAGTCATCGAAAAGGTGTAGTCGCAAGAATGATTAAAACAGTTGCGAAGAATATTTTTTTTGAAAAGTCATGGATCCCAGCAAGCTGCCGCAAGTGGCCGGCATCGTAATGCAAGACTGTAAGAGAAGACGCTGGACTTGAGTGGTGTGACATCTGCATAGCAGTGCAGGTGGAGTTCTGTGGCGCTCTGATGAAGCAGCCACGGCTCGTGCCGCAATCTGGTGGTAATCACATCACTTCCTTGCTAAGATTCTGCCGTAGGCTTGTTTATTTGGGAGTCGACGAAACAGATAGCCCCTAAGCTGACATTGTAAGGTGCTCTTTGCTTCGTGACATGAACCGTGCCAGGCCTGGAGCGAGAAGCATGGACAGAAGCTCGGCACCGCCTTGGTGCCTCTCCCAGCTTCAGTGCACAGAGCAGAGGGCCGTGTGCGTGTGCACGCCAGACGGCTGACCGTGATAAGTGAGCCCCGAATTCCCCATGGAGTCAGGGCTACATTCTTCACAAGTCGGAACATGTGCCACAACCTTCGGGCCACCACTGCGCGGTGATGTCGAATCTACTGTGGGCAATCTCGTTTCCTCCAACAGGGCTCGTCAGCGTAAGGCACTAAGTCACTGAGTAGCCATTCGGTATGACGTTGCGATGGGTGGCACAAATGGGAACAAGGACCCATCCATACTGGCACTGTGCAAATCGAATCGGCACTTCGCCGTGTTGGAACTGTACCAGATCAAGTGGGCGTGGCAAAATGGTGTCCAAACGGGTTGTGTAGACGGTAGACATCAACCACTGAAGTCACTTGCAAGCTGCTTTGTGGACAGCAGCGGGTGCATTCCTTGTACATCCCCGGCATCCTCCGCAAAAAGCCTCAGAGCCGGGTCAAGGAGCTCGTGGTCTCCACTGCCACGCGGCCCAAGGAGCTCGAGAGGCCCCACTGAAGCAGGGGTGTCAGCTGCAAGCTCTTACACAGAGTCTCCCAGAAAGTACTCTGAGGGTTTTTGTAGTGTGCAGCTGTACTATTTCAAGTGCGCTGCCTGGAAGTTTTGGAAGCTTGTTAAGGCATCTGGCTGGAATTTTGACACATGAACTGCTCCCAGTTGCAGGAACTTGTTCAGATTGGCCCAACGCCTCTGGGAGCTGCACTTAGGCCTGTTGACCTTCTGAAGAAGTTAATATAGGGACCCAAGTAATTACCAATACTATTTGGGGGGTTCCTTATTATATGTATATCACAGTGTAAATTTCTCCCAAACCCTGTCCTAATTATTCAGGCCCGTACCGTAGCATGAGCGGAGGTGAGGGAAGGAAATGTGCGAGCTCTGCCAGCTTGGCTTGGTACACAAAACTTAACTATGAATGGGCTGACAGCACTTCCACATCTTGGAGTCCCGGCATCGCACAACCCCTCTGGGAGTTCAATCAATTTGCGTTTTGCATGTGTGCTCTGGCGAGATCACAAAGCCCAAGCAGTCATTTGGGATCCTAATCAATGGAAGAAACGTGTCTTTCAGCAGCATAGCAGCTCCACTGGCATACACAGGAAGGTTGCAAACAAGTGCGCAACACAATAAAACAGCTTGGGCACTCCAGTGTGCGGAGGAAGTGATTGAAGTGACGAGACAGTAGACAGCAAAGGTCACGTCGAGTTGGGGGTGAAGCCTGCACACCTCAAAGTCTTCGCCTTGCACTCAGCAGACTTCGCCATCTTAATTCTGCTTGTCTGGACCGGGATGGAAACAGTCAATGTGCGGGCTCATGCAAATTCGGCCTTTGGAGAGATCCGGCTCAGGAATCTTGTCTCTTCGACCTACTGGCAGTAAACCTTTCTGCAGCTGCCTTCGAAAGTGCCCAGCTTGCCTGGAAGTGGCTATGGGACATCGTAGAGAGTGCCTGGGCCGATACTCCGAACTAGATCTCCTGTCCGAGTAGAAGACATTCAAGTGGTGCTGCAATCTGCGGACTGACACTTTGCAGTGGCCCTTGGCCCCGGCAGCAAACTAGTAGCATGCGACATGGATTGCAGGAACCTTCGTGCAAGTGCCGCTTGTCTGCATCGCGCTGTCTTGCTCGTCAGAAATTGAGAGGCATAGCCAGGTCAGTGTCGTGCCTTCAAGTATACGAATACACTTTTTTTTGCATCGTGCTGTCTTAATTACCCCACATGCTGGCGAACAGCACTATGAAAAGTTTTTAGTTTGTTTCTGTACATATCGTACAAACATGTATAGAGCCCCGGGTGCTTTTGGGCACAGACAGTCTGATGCCATGTGCACCTGATTTCGCCCAAGGCTCGTGAACTGGGAGACCATGCAGACATCACTGACGGCGTCGTGGGAGGTCATTTCACAGCGTGCAGATTCTGCAGTGACTGGGACTCACCAATATCATCGCATCTTTTCTCTGGTATATTCCGACATGCAGCGGTGTCTCTGCGATTCTATCTGTCCAACACCGTCCCAGGCTGCTCCACCATCAAAAATCTAACTGTTTCTAACCTACGACCTTAGCATAGAACTGTGTAGGTCGTCAGGCATTGTGCGGGACGGGGTGAAGCCTTTTCCAAAACAGAAATCTCCCATCTGCCAGTCCAACATCTCCTGGAGGAGCCTTCTCCGAACACTTCGCAGGGAAAGTTGTGTTAGATCAAGCTCTCCAAAGACAAAAGCTGCCCACGATGCATGGAAACGCAATAATTCAATATAGCCATGACGATGGCATACGATAGCTGCAGAGATTGGTTTCGCACCAAGGTAAAAGTGGCAAGGACCTTTCACAACACCCTGCAACTCGGACTTCCTGAGGAGATGTTCGAATTTTGTCTTGCATTGGCGGTGGGAATGGCTCGACGATGCTCTGCACGTGGATATTCGGGCTGCAGGGTGCCTTATAGTTGCTCTGGGCCCCGCAGAGAGTTTCGAGTAACGGGCCGAGCTTGCATATTGCACTATCAAACCTAGCTGGGTCAGCACACGGCGCCCAGGCTGCCGCAGCATGTAGTGAGCATACATGAGTGGGAAGTCCAGTGTGGTTGAGCTAGTGCCAGGTTGGATCGCGTGATGGTTTTTCGCAGCATGTTCAAGAAACGAGACGTGCCACAGCTGCGCTTTGTTTCGTTCTGGTAATTGAAAGTGTACCGTACAGGTTGCTGGGCTTCGGGTTCAGTTCACTTGTCGCACGATAGATGCTGATGCAACTCCAAAACTGCCGCCGGCTTAGCCAAACTCTATTCGTCTAGTATTGCCGGTTCTTCAATACAAACAGTGTGCTTGATTGGTGCTTGTGCTTGGCGGTCTTGCTGATGAGTACCGGGAACACAAGCAGGACTCGCCAGCATCTCGCAACTACCCGCAGCAATTTTATGCAGGGCAGTTTGGGAATCGGGATCTTGGGCCGCGCGCTGCTAGCATGAGCTGCAGCTTGGCGGACACCAAGGGCCACAGTCTTGGGGAGGGGGAGCTAAGCGTGAACCTGAACATTCGCAACATGGCCGCACAAGTGCTTGGTATGGCTTCTTGTATTAAGGTATTTTTGGTCAACATTCCAGAGTCTCTGTCAAAAGCCCACAATCATTGGAGGCAATACCTTTCTCGACTTGGAAGATGCTCCGTCTCTGGCAGAGCAGATGCGCGGCCTGCGGAGGGTAAGCTCCTGCCCGCTTTTGGAAAGCAGAGAGGCCCACGCGGAGGACAATGCACAGTCGGTGCAGATCCCAGTCGCTCCGAAGTCTCCTCCCAGCGAGCTACGTGTGCAAGATCAGGCGAAAGAGCAGATCGATCAGACAGATCAGGCCGCCGCCCGGACGCGGCTGTCCAGTAGTGCAAAGATGTTCCAGCCAAAGCCCATGGCCACTGTTCCAGCCCCAAGTACCACCTATTTCGCCACACCCCCAAGCAGAACATACGCCATGCAAGGGGTGCAAAGCCAAATGCTCCCCAACCAACCATCCATGTGGGCGTGGAGCCAGCAATTCCAAAGCCTGCCTGGGACTTGCGAGTCACAGAACCAGAAGGGTCTCTTGCTGAGCACGGGCAGCCCGAGTGTGTCCATGTCGAAGCCCAAGGCCTTCTCTCCAGTCTTTAGGAGCTTTAGGTGCTTTTACTAGTAATACTAGTAATACTACTACTGCTACTATTACTAGTATTACTAGTTTAGGGTTGCCGTGTCCTTGTCCTTGAAGCCTGGGAACCTCACATGAGTCTCGTAGTTACAAGACCGCAGGTGATCCTGGGATCCGCAGCACTTCCCAGTGTGGGCTCCGGCGGCCATGCCACAGGTGAATGTAAGCCATGCGCTTTCTTCTACAACAAGGGTTGTACCAGTGGCAAAACATGCTTGTTCTGTCACCTCTGTGATGGGAGTGACAAGCGCCGGCGGAACCGCGAGCGGCGACATGCTGCTGCATAGTCTGAGTTCGGGCTCCCCATCATGAACCAGCACGCCTGAAACCCATGAGCAAAAATTCGATGCTCCTTGGTGGAGGATCGGACCGGCTTCACGGTAGGCCTCAAGTCAAATGCTCAACACTCTAAACTGCCTGATTTCAGGCTTAGGTTATATGCACGCACAAGATTTTAAACGATTTTTCAGGGAGCAGTGTGAAAGCTGCCCCTTGCCGAGGTTGCTTTAGGCCAGCACGGCTTAGATCACGACAGAAGATGTAAGCACCACTAAGGCTTATTGCGAGAAACCAGGCCGACTTGCTGACTGCATCCTCGGTGCATAGTTGTGCAGTAGTCGTTGGTTCTGTGCCAGGCTCCGCGCATCAGTTAGAGCTGTTCGCACCCACCCTGGCTGCAAGCAGTGCCAATCCTTCTGCTGAATAGTTCCGTAAAACCCCCACCTCACTGCTCCGCAAACGCGGACGCAGTGCAATTGTTATTTTGTACGCTGGGCGCAGTCAAGGCAAAAGCGGCCAAGCGAGTGACGGATTCTGAGTCTTCACATGCGGACCTACAGAGGGCAAGCACAGGCATTTCCGCAGCCGACTGCTGTGCACTGCCACAGTTCTGGACACTCAGACATCCGTGCTGATGCAAGGAAGCTCTTGCTTTGGTCTTTGCCAAAGCTCTGCAGCTGCTGGTGGATTGTGTCCACGACAGCTCCCTCATTGAGCCGCTCGGATTTGTCAGCTGCCGAGTTGCATGCGACCTGTGAGGCGGCTGGACTCGATGTGGTCCTGGTTGATCTCTGTACTCTTACTAGCCGTCTTGTGCCCACCACCAGGCAACCGCTCTCAGTTCAGGCTCGCCTTAAGCAAGCGAGCGGTTTTGGCTGCGAAATTTGCATAGAGCTGAATAGAGCTGAATGAGGTTAAGCGTTGCGTGACCCCATCAAGCTGCAAGTCTCACAGTGGCCCACACATGGAGAGCTTCTCCATACACGTCTTAAGCTCCATTGAGACAAGGACGGAACTGGAAAAGATTTCCGTCATGCACTGCAAGTTCGACTTGCCGCGTGACGGCAGACCAGCTGTCAAGTTCTTGAATTTCAGTCACGGAACGGTTGAGAGTCGATACATTCTCCGAAGTCGTTGCAATATAGTTGCAATGCACGGTTCGATCTTTACGCACGAAGATCAAAGCCGCACGTGAGCCTAGCTCTGAGGCAAGCGTGGCACTTTGAGATATTCGGGCAGATACTGCTAGAGACGCTGCAAGAATCTGGTGGACAGGCTCGCCATGATGGTATGCCAGATCCAGAGTCACAGCCCGAACACAGCATTCCCAGGGTGAGGTGTCAGAGTCAGAGCGAGGTGTCGAAATTCCTAACTACGAGGTCTCGTCTTGACAGCGGTATATGGCCCTACACCTTGAATTGAGGGAGTTGATTGGAGTTGACCATGCGGAAGGCGTGGTGCGATGACTACACAGAGGCTTGGTCAATGCTCTACGGTAACCTGGCGAAAACGCTTGAAGTTTTGGGGTTTCTGATTTGCTTCCTGGGCCTAAGTTAAGATGGTCTGAGACCGCCATGCATGACGCTCACATTCAGCTGGCATCTTTGCCGGCAAGTCAAGGTATGGCTTCGCAGACTTTCTTGGAGGCCAGCCTTTCCCAGACTTGGTGGCTCCCTGCACCTCGATGCATCGCTGAAACCTTGTCATATCCCAGACTTGCAAAAGCCGAAGCCCCGAACATGGGCCACGGGCCTTCTCCCGTTGACAGCTTCTGCGCGAGCACCTCGCGGGAATATCAGGGATATTCACATCTCTGTTTGGATTTGCCAGCAAATCAGGCCACAAAATATATGTGTATATATATATATATATATATTCTACTTAGATACATACATGCATAACTACATACACATGTATCTATGTGTGTATATATATGTATATGTATGTATGTATGTGTGTGTACGCACGTAGCTAAGCTCAAGCTTTTCGATCCCTCCCCCCATTCTGCATGTGGCATTTTGCCTTGTTTATCTACATCTCGAACCTTTTGCCTCCGATACATGCTGACAACAACAACGACTGCTTTCACCCCCGAAACACTTACTTCTTCAAAGCGGGCTACAACTGCCTGGCTAAAGATTCTTCAGCGGCATGGCTCGAAGCCTGAACATGGGTATCCAAGGCCTCAGATCGCATGGAAGCCTTTGCAGATCCCAACGGATGTAGAGTGTAGAGGTATGAAGCTGCAATATGAAAAGAAGAGAAGGCAACCGCAACGCCTACATTCAAGGAGGCGAGCTGCGAAATCATGCGAAATCAGATGCCGTATTGACGTTCCATGCAGAGAGTATCCCAAGCCGCCAGGCCATTGATAGCTCGCGGACCAGCCTTTGCAGTGCGCTGCTACAAGGTTCCACCAAAAAAGTGAAGGCACCGCAGGTCTTGGGTTTCGGGGTTTGGGCTTGGTGACTGGAGACTAGGAGAGGAGGATAATTCATTTTGGACAGCCGGCCAACCCAGGAGTGAGGAATGTAGCTTTGCTTGAAAGGAGGCGAATGCAGAGGCCGCTGTGCTCTTGAATAAGTGCTCCTGCCAATGCCGCAAACATGTTGAGACATCTGACGTGGGACAGGAAGCTCTCAGCAAGGCGCCACGCGGCGAACGCGCGGCCAGTGGCATGTTTCGACTGGGAGACTTTCCGTTTTCTTTTCTCGGGTTTTCGTTTCCATGGAAGCGTCTCAAAGGTGGAAGCAACCGTTCCAGTACTTTGCGGAGGGAAGTTCTTGTCTACACCAAGCATCTTAGGTGCTCTCCAAGTCGGAGTTGGGCGACGACAGCTGTCACCACTTCTTTGGGCACTTCGAGACATGCACCTCGAGGCGTGCGCCCCCCGCCCTGGCCCGGCCCTGTTCCGGATTCCAGACGGAAGCCTAGGAGTGCGCGGCTTTGTTGTTAGGTGCTTGAAATACTTCTCAGCGACATTCTCACGATCCGTGCAGACCGGCCTGACACTCAGAGATCCACGAGCTTCTGCACAGGCATGGATCGTGGAAGCAGTCGGCCTTGCGCCAGAGACTTCCAACCAGCAAGTAGAGATCATGGGCCGGGTTGATCCGAAACCCTGCATAAACGAAGTGTAAGGACAAGCTGGCTGACAGCTGCAGCCTGTAGATCTTCGATACTTGGTTGGGTTATCTCTTGATCGAAGCTCTCGTTTGCAAGGCAGTGCTTCTACTATGGCGTCGACGACCTCTGGAAACGGTGCCCTGCGATTCTCGATGCTCTGGTGGAGCAGCTTGCCTGCTTTTGACCCTTCGGGGTTGACTCGCATACAGCAGCCATCCAGAGTAGCGGATGTCATCACTTGCATCGCATCCAGCATTTCAAGGCGTCCTCTTTTGCAAGATGCAGGATCGTACTCCCGAGATGAAACTCCTGCAAGGTTTGCCCCGCATCTACTGGAGCCGCTGCTGGATGGCCACATGTGGGTGAGCCGGGAGCCTCTCGGCTGCCTTTTGCAACTTCGGTGCTTTTGTTGCTTGCTTGTTTGTTTCTGCCTCCCGATGTCTCTATGTTTCCTGCTTTATGGGTAATTGTGCAACTGCCGACTGCGAATGACTTTCCACGACCATCCACCTCATGTGCAGGACCACGGACGGCTTGCGACGAGTCAACCTCTGGGTGCCTTGCACATCGTCATTGTCGATGTTCGAGGCTGTGTGTGAGACAGAATGGCTGCAGGAAAGGAGGCTTGTCCTCTCGAGCTCTGAGACCGAGTGGTGTTGTTGCAACCAAGGTGCAGTACATCTACGGCAACCCTGCTTCTTTGCTGCAAGTGGGCCGATACGAGCCACCTTCATTCAGTGCTGGGATACATCAAGGGTAGGGCCATGCACGGACGGCGTCAGACATTTTAGGCAGGAAAAGAGTTGAAGCCGGTCGTTCTGTTTCAGTGTGTTCCAGTCTCTCAAAATTCAAGGAAGAGTTGGAGCATGCCGCTTGGCCTGGTCTGGCTTCATGGATTTTGTGGGGTGCAGAAGGTGCTGGGATTCTTCCGGTCAGACCTGATGTTTCGCACAAGGGAAGTTACAAAAGCCTTGTTGCTTGTGCTGTCCTCAGGGTTCCACAGTCAGATCCTGAGGTGTTTGCAGGCCCTTTGGGGACCTTGGTTGAGCGACTGCCTGAGACTCACATCGAGGCGCGCTGTTGAGCTCCGAGAAACAAAGGCCTTCTGAAAAAAGCCGTAGGAAACAAAACGTCTTTCGAGGGAAGTCGTAGTCTCTGAAGTTCTCCGCAGCCTCGGTTGGATCTTGTGGCGAGAAACCTGGCATCAATTTGGCCGTGTCGACACAGATCGAGCTTGTGTTGGCGAGCATCGCATGACATTCAACAAATTCACTCTTAAGGGTGGCTATGACGATGACACTGAAGCGGGTGCTGCTGCTTTGTGCTGCTGATGCTGCTGCTGGTGGTGATGGTCGGGAGAACTTAGGGTGATGATGGTGATGATGTGGAGAGGAGAGGAAGCAGAGGAGAATGCAGCAGCCATGGTCCTGCTCATGCCAGCTTTTCCCAAAATCCAGAGACAGCAGCGGCACCACTCGCCCCTGGACGCATGTGCAGACAACCTTTGAATAGCCAGAATGCTTCGTCGCAGGTTTTTCGGCACCCTGTCATCTCGGTGCCTTGGTCTTTGAGCTTGCCCCTTTTAACTCGAGGATTTTAACCCCCTTCCTCCGCGATCACCAGCTGTCTGAAGTGGCCCTCTCGTGATTCAAGGTTCGGTCCTGCGCCCCACATTTGCAGCATAGAAGCTGGATAGACTTGCCGTGCACGAGGAGACCGTCAACCTCAAGTGGCACCAGTTTGGACGAAGGCGGCTCATAGCCGTGTGCCGGGCTGCATACAACATTTGGGAGCAAGGGCAAACATGTTCAAATCACTCCTTCAAGCGTAGCACTCTGCCTCTAAGCATTGTCTCAAGACCGAGTCGAGACCCTGAGTCAATATTGGGCCAAGGGCCATGTTGACTGAAAAGCGAGCCCAGACGTGGCCCTTCGAAGTCAGGTTTCCCTGCAGCAGATCACCTGTCTCGTCTCTTACCTTGTCGTCAGCAGCTCGGTTGCGACAAGCATCGAAGTTGGCCGTCTCCGGCCAACTCCAGCCTGCACAGCCGTTTAAGAAACCCAGCCCTTAAGTGCCGACATGCCTGGCATCTAAGGTATGTCCGGTGACTTATCTCTTTGGCTCCGCCTTTGCGCCTGCGCTCTCTGGGGAACGCAACCCAGCCTGCAAGCGAATGAAGTTTGTGGCAGGGTCTGGGAATGTAATCTGAACATCTCGAAGATGCACTTCGCAGTTGGGACAACCTCACTGCACGCCAGATACGCATGCAGGTGTAGCCTGGAACACTTGTCCAGTCTAGCTTAAATCCCAGAATCCTTCAGGATCACTGCCATCCAGCTGGCGCACGGTTGCTACATCGCCGTGTGGGAGGTGGGGATCCCAGGCTTCATTGCTTTGACAACTCTTTCAACGTGCGCTGCGCCACGCTGTAGGCGGTAGTTCAATTAATTTGGCATGCGCATAGGCAGAGCGGTTATCATCCAAATGCGTCGGCAGGATGCAGCTACACCACTGTTCACATGCGAACTTAAATCGGCAATGCAACTGCGGCCAACCACAGCAGACACTGAGTGTGTTGAGTCATGCTCATGCATGCAGGGACTCTGCACCATATTGACCTTGCTACTGTCAGCAGACAATCCATCAAGCTTTTCGAGACAAGACCATGCGACCGAGAGGCTTGCACGCAGCGGTGCACTTCACTGGCCCGCTGGCAGCACAAGCCAGTTGAGGCATTTGCGGAAATGGGTGCTTGATGTTGCTGATGCACTGCCACAAGCGTGACAACTACATCTGTTCTGGTAGAAAATGTGCTCGGACTTTTGTGGCAGGGAGTGGCAGCGTGTTGAGGGCTTGTGGGGCATCCGCGCAGACTTCACAAACGAACCCCTGCTGTAAGACTCATTTCTCCCAACACATTCTGGTGCTGCCTGGCCGAGGACTTCAAGCTTTGCCGGCTCAAGGCTTGCTTCGCAGTATACATATGTCTGGTCGTGTGCAAGCATTTGCGGTGCTTCGTCCACCGTACGGAACGTGCCGCAGCTTGCTCCGGATCTTCAGGAGTGCTACATGCACTGATGACATTAGGCGCAGATAGGCAGGTGAGGCGTGCCGTAAGTTCATACAATCGTTCATCCACTCGCCAACAAGCCGAAAGCCAGCGGACTCCTGCCACTCCACGACCAGTAGACATCAAAGCCCTGCAGGTGCCGCGGAGTCTTTGTCAGTTCTTCGTGCAGCTGCGGCTGGTTTGCTGCCTCCTCTCTCTGTTGCTCGTCGCATGATGTCGCGTGCATGTACTGGGGCTTAACCGTCGTCATGAACCCCAGGACCCCAGGCACAGCATGCCCTCCCTCTGCTCCTCAAGAGAAATCGGCAGATTGCCTCGAATACAGACGACTAATGCCTTTTCCCACAAAGCCAGATCCCAAGTCGCGCATTTGTGCGCGACGGCAGGCCTGTCCAAGGGTTCGCGACACTCAAAGTCCAAAGCCTTTACGTAGATGCAATCATAGACGACGATGACATCTTCAGTGCTGTTGTTGATCAGGAGCTAGCAGCTAGCTCAGGGAAGCCCCACTACGAAGAGCAACATGGTTCACTCTGAGGGGCGACTTGGCATGGAAAAGTCCCTGCTACTAAGACTCTTGATCGAGACCATGGTGGTGACCTGCTTCGAGAGCCGCAGCTGGACTGGAAATTGACCGATTCGCTTTTCGCCGAGTGACAAGCAGGTTTGGGGGGGATGGCTCCTGTAAAGAACAGGCCTGCAATGTCCCAGCTTCCTCAGATTGCCTTAAGTACATGGCTGGGCCTGCATGTTTAGAGGCAAAAGCCATGGTTGATGTCCTGGCAAGGCTCAGATGCAAGATGCTTGGATGGAGACCATGCGTCACCTCGAGTTCTGTCGGCGAGCGTTGCCTTCCTCCAGTGGCGTCTCGCCTGGCCTTTGGAAACTCTGTGCAGAAGCCTGATTGTATGAACTAAGGCTAAGGGCAGGGGACGGGATGGTGCAAGTGTGGCACCAAGCGAAACCGCTACAGTGATGTCGTGCTTACCTTGCAGAGCTGGTGTAGCTTCCTTCACAATCCTCACCTGGAGATGCCATCCTTCGCGCTCTCAGCCCAGGATCCAGATGGCCGAGCTATTCAAGCTTCCGGGCCGCCTGTACTGGGGGTAAGCTGAAGGCATATTCCGGAGGCCTTGACTTGGCTTCATAGATCCGGACAGCAGAATCGAAAGCTTCCAGGGCTACAGATGGAAACCAGAAAGAACCCAGAGGGCCCGAACGATTCGGGCAGTCCGCAGAGCATCATCTTCCGAATCACCTAGCAGGTCGCCAACCCGGGCAAAGCTGAGCTGGTTCATTACCTCGCGATAAGTTGCCCTTCTGTTTCCTTTTGCGATCTGGCCTTGTCGGCAATCGTTGACATTACATAGGGCACGAAGCGTCCCCCAGCAGTGCTGTCCCTGTGTCCGGGCTCGTTATCCCGGCTCCAAGGCTTCATGGAAAGATGGCGGCTGTCGTTTTACTGGGAAAGGCTATGATGGAGGACTGTACTGCCATGGTTGCTGCACCTCAAGAACCGAACCGACTCTTCCCTGTGATCAGAAAACTGCCAATGTCTCAGAAGCGCATACCGGGACCCACCGGATGTTCACACCATAACTCTAGTTGCCACGGTGAGTGAATTTAGCAGACAAGACTTCTGTTCAACTGTCCCACACTTGCGACAGGATGCACTGCGCTTCATGATGGGCCTGGGGCTTTGGCTCATCGCTGTGGGTGCCAAGCTGAATTTGGTGAGAGATGTATACACTGATATCCGATCTCGCAGCTGTTTGTCGCCGCCACCGCATGCCAACCTGAAAAAAGCATTCCTTGCTGCGAAAAAGCCCTAGGCACCAAGACCAACTTGTAGACCATGCAGGTGCATCACTGCACAAGCTTCAGGACGATGAGACCAGGCCCGTCGAGATGTGATGCCACTGTCCACTATTGTAGTAAATTCTGTCGATGTTGCGGCCATGTTTCGGGGATTTCGCGGGCTCTGCACAACAGTGAGACACCAAGAAACCCCTGCCCACACAGAGAGCATTGCTACGTAACTGGTGGCTCCAATTTCGCAAAGCGTGGTTATTGGCCGGACTGTGCCAAGATGTTAAGAACCGAGAGCATGTTTCGAGCATTTTCCAGCCTTGCCTGGCTTCTGCGAGGCCGCAGAACGGCTTCTCCAGCGCTTACAACTTGTTCGCACACGCCTGGGCCTTTTTCTCTACAAAAGCGCAGGCCTACCGGAGGCTGCCAGCCATGTGACATTGGCGCTTAGATATTGGAGGGGTCTCGTCCCACAGGATTCTGAGTGGGTTTCGGCAATGTTTTTGTCGTACGTGGCTGTGTTCATGACACCTGCGGCTGAGGTCCTCGGCGTCGGCACAGACACGGCCGCCTTGTTTGCATCACTGCTGCCGGGGTTCGTGGCAAAGCAGATGCTTGTGGGTACATATTGTCCTGAGTGTTTGACGGTGGTGAGGTGATCAAGACAGCTCGGCATGTAGAAATGTAGACCAACAAGAACAAGTTACCCTGAGAAGTTTCACCGACCCTAGCTTTCGTACCCAGGACTTGACATACTATGAGTCCTCAGAAGCCTTCGACGCGGTCGTTCGCATCGTCTACTTGGGTGCTCTGCCACTGGGCCAAAGCCAAAAGTGTGGCAACTCCCTGAGACTTCTGCTGCTGCTAACGGCTAACGCAACGACAGAGCCCAATGGTGCTAAAGGCTTGCCATGACACTTGCAGGTGGGTCTCAGTGGTTCCGATACTCAACGTGCTTATCGCGGCGATGGACCCACGGCTACCAGTTCTGGTATGACGAGATTTTGTTTGAACGATGTTTTGTCTTGTCGTGCGGATCTTGCTTCGCACTAGAAGCTGGACGCTCACGATCGAGCCCCGCCCGGACCCTCAACCCCGAGTTTGATTCTACTTATTGTGGCCGCCACAGCCACCAGGTCTCAACTTACTCGAAAGCTGAATCTATGACACTGGGCCTTGCGATCAAGGCCTCCGCATGTGCAAAGCACACGTGAGCAGCGAAGTCCTATTGGCTGAGAGCGGCTGACCAGAAACCCCGAAATGTCAACGGCTTCCCATACGAATCTGTATTGGATCTACAGCCCCCAAGTTGACTCATTCGCATTGACATTGAGTATACGACCAAATGTGGCAGGAGCATGTCTTCCGATCTCGACCGGAATTTGCTGAAGTTTGGTGTTACCGCCAGACCCATTCTTCTGCAGACAAGTAATTCTCAGCTCCTTTGAGAGGCCAGGGCGGGCTTCGTGCTCCGCATGGAGGACTTCCGGCAATCAGCTTGGTCCAATTTTGAGGAACGTAGTCGACAGTTTTGCACCTTCCAGAGGCAGAAGCACCGGAACTTCGCAACGGCTTGAGGAAACGAACTCAGCGCCGGAAGCTGGTTATCCCAGCCTACGTTCTGAAGAGCCTCTAATGAATCCGCACATGGGGACATAGGCTCACCCAAATGTATCAGCCGGTTGTGTTACAACAGCCGAGGCTTTTGTGACAAGGAGCCGCCTGCACCGAACAGTGCAGCCATTGTTTTTCCATCGAATCAGGCACTCATCCACACCGCCACCAGGGCTTGGCAAACCAGCTGCACACTGGACACGGCGCTCATTGCCCATAAGCATCCATAAGCCAAGGGCCCAAAGGCTGCAAATGTCCTGCATCCGACTCACGACGAGAAATCAGCTCCAATTCACACCGCGCCCAGCCACTGCAGGATATGCTTCGATTCGCCGCTGGGCTGGGACGACCCAGAGGTTTGCTGGAGTTCAGCGGTGTAGCACCCGCTGTAATGGATTTGGAACGAGTGGTTGAGTGGTAGATTCCACGCCATACCATTCAGGTCGCGTCGGGGTTCTCGCACAGGAACAGGCTGAACGTATGGTAAGACAGTGAGACGACGGTGCATCGAATGCCAGAACCTTGAAGACTGCAAGCAGCTGCCTACAGCTAGCTCATTGGGAGTTTCCTTGATTGACAGGTTAATCCTTGTTCTAATTCGCACTCTTCTGCGCCTGCACCTCACCCAAGAAACGGCGCCTGCACTTCTTCAAAGACGCCGGCTTCGACATGGCGCTTGCTTTTTCGGAGCACGACAGAGGCCACCAAATGCTTGAAATACAGTCGGGAGTATCGAGTTTTGGCAAGTTGGGGCCAGGCTACATGTACCGAGTCTCAGAGAGAGGACTGGTGATGACCTTTTGCTGACTTCGACACGCCGTGGGAGCTGAGAGGCCCTAGTGGGGGCATCTCCATGATGTGCGACACCCTCCAACTCAAGGTGCCGCACCAAGTGCCCAGCGTGCATGTTGATCCATGCGGGATCCAGTCTAGGCATACTTTACCGGTTTCTGTGATGCAGCTGAACATGAATGAGCACGCAAGAAGCGTTGATACGGGCACGAAAGGTTCATCATGTCCATGGCTGCATGTACGGATTTACAGTTTACGGAGCAATGGAATGTGGGGATAGTCCTTTAGAACCAACCCTACCGGCTTCTGGAAAAGGAGCATGGCAGCTTCGGGCGCCGGGTCGGCGCAGTCCTTTTCTTCTCGGGAGAGACTGGTACAGCTGCTGAGCTGCACTGCTCTTTCGCAGACAATATGGAGACAAGTCAAGGTTTTGGTAGCATGGTTCGGCTTGGACTTGACGAGTGAGCGGCCGAGGCCACTCAACCCGGAGAGTGGTATCCTTCGCTCCAGAAATGCAGGGACGCAGGGAATTACATGAGACCGTGAAGGGACAAGTGGATACTGCGAGAAGAGACGCTGAACCAATTTTACTTGCCACTTCACCAGTAATGAATGAGATGGTTGGGCGAGGAGTAGCCGGCCAACCTACATGCCCCCATGCTGTTCCACAAGTCGTGGTCATGCCGCATAGAAGGACTCTGTTTTCACGAGCCCTCAGAACCTCCTAGCCAGCCAACAGCACAATGGAGGCAGAAACATCGTTTCCCAAAACATGCAGGGCATCCTCAAGCATCTCAAGGAGCTTCTGGTACTCGTATGTCCTTTGAGGCCAGAAAGCCCTTTCGGGCCCTGGTCCTAGCCTTCGCTGACTCTTCGAGGATCAGCCTTGGCCATCCCATGACATCCCCCTGCTCGTCAACCATGTGAACACTGTCTCCGAGAAGCTGCCCTCGCAGGATGGACCTAGGGCCCTAGGGAGCAGGGCTCAGGGCTTCGAGTTGTCAGCGGAATTGGGGGGTAGATGGGTGGTGCTGGTGGCAATCAAAGGCAAACTTCAGGTGCACGGCAGGACGCTCGCTCGAACCTGCTTGGCAAACTGCTTCACAGCCCTCGGTTTCTTTCGCCATTCACACACACACGCACACTAATAGGATCTAATAGGGATACAATGGCATGTAGTGCTGGTGTTGGTCAGTCCCGGGCCCAAGCATGCAGGAACTACATCGCGAGCTGCTGTCGGAGCTGCGTGTCATCCGCGATGCCACATCACGGGCGCGCGTCATGCCGGCTGCAAGCCATGGTCATCTGAGCATGTAGATAGGTGACGCAGGGGCTTTCGGCTACCGGGTAATTACTTCTGCTTCCTGCAATACTTACACTCGCACTTTCGTCCAACTGTGGCATCCCGCCGTGGCCTTGGCCCCAGTCCATAGGTAGCGCGCGAATTGCACCTTGACCACAGCTCTTGAATCCCGGGTGCTGCCACATATCCACGGCGCAGTTCCCACATTTAAGATCTTCTCTGTCAATATGAAATGCACTTCCACAGAGCCAAGGCTGCCTCTGCCTCGCGGGAACCTGTTGCAGCACCACCCGTGGAGGTTACACTGCAAACCTTGGCCACTTGGGTCATAGCTATCGGATGTGCAGTTATTCCATGAGCGCCGAAGGGCACCATCGGAGACAAGCCTGTAGTGTTGAGGTGATTCGCGGTGCCCTCAGCCTGAGGCAGCAGTTGCTGAAGCGTCTACAGACCAGCACTGTTTCTTGGCTGTGGAAGGCCCGGATGTGGGCTGAGCGCATTTCAATTTGAATGTTACTCTGGCGTTGAACAGACAACGTTTGCATCGAAATCCCGTTCGTATCCGTGTTCTCTATATGGTATGTCGTGTGGTAGCATTTGTGTGGCCAGGGCTGTGAATCTATGCCAGTTTGATCAACCTCCTTTGTGCCGTAGAAAGAACAGGAGAAGCATCTTGTTGCAGGCCGCATCTATGATGTGGGCGCATACCTTCAGAATCATCCAGGCCACATGGTGTGTCAGAGTCCTCACGGAGGGATGCGCATTCCGTCAGCCAACATCTCGGATCGAAGCATCACGGCCCCCCCAAGTATACGCGGTATGGCCCTGGTCCAGTAAACCGTGACGGGAAGCGTTTGCCCGTAACTGCCTGACCCACAGACTTGGACTCAGGGCTCTGCGGGCTGCAGGCACAACAAACTCACATTACCCGTGCCGGCACGGAGGTGGCAGCTCAGTGTTGACGTCGGGACGTGGCAAAGATGTCAGTGACACCTGCCTTGTCTGGTGGTGTCAGTCTTCGAAGATCTGAGGGATGTTTGCTGTTGGCCTCGAGCTTGGACTGCAGAGGTCTGAGTCTAACATCTTCGACTTCTTTCACTCATGTGGGTCAGGGTTTGATGAGTACTTCGATTCGTCTCAAGCCCAGCACTAGGATGAGACAGGTGATGCGTGACGTTTCCGTGCACATGCGTGTGTGGTTTGCCGTTCATCACAACATGGACTGAGGAGCGCATTATAGTGCATTACTTGCTTCAGCCTTCTTATCAGCTTTCCCAGACCTCTGAGTTGCTGCGTGGCCGAACCCACAAAACCGTGGCACGGTGCAGCAGACCTTGCGTTGTGCTTTTTTATTGCAGCTCGCCGTCGCCCTCTCGAACAACTTGTGCTGTCAAAGAGCAAGTTTGTCTTTGAAGCTTGGGCTGGGCATGGCTGGGCTATCTGGGCTCCTTCCTGCTTAGGAGCCCTTTCGAGCAGCCCACTCTCAGCTGCTACGGGCACGGGAGGCTTTGGCTCAGCTTCCGGCAACTTGGCCGCAGATTGGAGTGCTGCTAGACGGCGCAGTTGCCAGAGCCAGCAGAAGATCGGAGCACACCCTCATCAGTGCTGCTGCAAGTCTCTGCGCAGCTGCTGGTTCGCAAATTCCCGTTCTCGTGATTGAACCCGTGAGGCTCTGCTTTGCCTGATCGCCTAGCACTTCACTGTTGCTTTGGAGGTGCTGGGCATCTTGTCCCACGGCGATGCCCCGCCCGAGAGCACAGTGACGAAGGTCTTCGTCTGAAGGCCGGCAGGTGAGCTCAACATATCAAAAGACTCTGGCCTACTTCGTTCGGCAGGAAGGCCGGAAAGTCAATAGCCCCGTGAGCTTTTCGGTGTTGCGATACGTGGCCCTCTTGTTTTAGAAAATGCACCAGCAGGAGTGTTTGTCGTAGATCATGAGTGGCACTTCATTCCGACGGTGGTCACACCGGGCAGAGCGACATTCAAGTTCTGAAAGGAAGGATGATCGGGTTCGAAGGATGTCATATAGGCGAGTGGCACGGCATCAAGGCAGGAAGGCTTGCACATTTCATCCTAGGTCTGAGCATGATCACGTTTCAGGCCAGGGCGGAATGTACCTTGCGCAAGAGTCACGGATCCCCGATGTCCCGACGTGCGAGAGTATGGACACCAAAGAAATCTCACTAAGAACCTCTAGAAGTTGTGAACGGCCATGGACACAGCAGCTTCATGGCACTATGGGTCTTCTAATGCAGTTGCGCAGATGACGAGGCCGCACAAGTTTGTCCGGAAGACGGAAGGCCTGACACGTTGCTCGTCAGTTGGTTCGGTGAGAGGGTGAGACCAGTTGAGGTCTTGAGGTCGGCGTTTTGCAGATGAGGCGTCGCAGTTCTAGGCCTCACCTGAAGAGTTCTTGCAGGGCAGTTCTGGCTTCCAGACAACAGCTGAACACAAGCGTCGAGACCTGCAGAGCTTTCTCCTGTCACAATGCCAAGGACGGAAGCTCCCCCACAAAGTGGTAGAGAAACTGCGTGTGATCAGTTACGCATAGGTCGGCAAGGGCCGACTCAGACAGCACAAAGAGCTTATTGCTCTGCAACAGGTGAGTCTGCATGCTTTGGTTCAGATATCTTTTCCCGGCTGCTTAGCATGCGTGGACAAGCACATGCTTGTCGCCTATTGGGATAGTCAGGTGTCGGAGTGCATTGGAGACCGACTACGTCCAGCAAATTGGGTGGCTATTTGTCGAATTAGTCTTTGGTTTGTAATGGACAACTTCCGTGCCGGACAAACGAAGCCCATGTGAGAGTTTCCATTGCTGCCGGGAGGACCTCATTGAGCTGGTAAGACATGTCCCGAGTTTAGCCAGCAGTCAAATCCAGGGAGTTAAAGGAGGTTTCCGTGATGGCTTTTAGGATTTAGGGCAAGCCGTCGAGAACTGAATGAGGGTGCCTTTTTTGAAGCACCTCGAGTTTGGAAGAGCTATCCAATTTTGCATCATAACATGTTGACTTACAGCACGTGAGGCAACGGACCCGGCCTGTCATATCAGCTTTCGGTATCCCCGGCACAGAGCGGTTGTTGGAGATTCGCGGAGCAGCTTTGCGTTCCATTGTTCCAATAGGCCCCAAGGAGCTTTTCTTGAGAAGACGCGTTCAGGCCCTACCTCCAGGCCAAGGAATGTGGTGGCCTTCTCCTATGTCTTATGGGCTGTATAGCTTCCAACATTGAAGATCAGCCGGCCCTTACACCAGACACCTTATCATTGGTTCGGAATGGTGTTGCCTGCCAGTTGGCTTCTGCCGAAGCCCGAGCCTGAACTTGGTATTCGAGAACCCGCACACAGGAAAAAGCCCTTGGAGCCTGCTGATAATGAGGTCATGGGCAGTAAATGCACTGCCCTGATACTGGTGCACAGTCCCTGTGGGTTTGCAGCTTTTCCGTCTACCACCTTCAAGACAATGCCCGATCCGCAAAGCGGACACGGGTATGGCAACTTTGATAGGTTCCAGTGGAGGAAGCTAGACCCCAGCCAACGTACCCGAAGGCAGCCTGTCTTGCCTGTGCCGGGTCAAAAAGAGGAGCGTGAGTGCCGGCTTGATCCACCAAGCTGGCTCCGTAATTCCTGTCTAGCTCTTGCGGTCGGCCTCTATCTGTGCAACACCTTCAGAATAGAACTCGTCAGGTTTGTCTCCTCCGCTTGCAGTTTGCCGCTCTTCCTGGTAAGTGTTACATTCGGAGATCTTTCAAACCTGGCCCAGCTGTGACATGTAGACGTCGCCCTGCAGCAGAGTCAGCATCAAATGGTGTTTAGAAGAGCAAAGCAGCAACAGTCCGAATCCACTCTTTGCAGCA